CAAATCTGCTGAAGAAGTGTAAAATAACACATAGACCAGCGGGCGAAGCCACTAGCCGAAGTTAGTATACTAACAAAAAGTAAAAAAAAAAAAATAATTTATTTATTACGATCATTAAAAGATGATGATTGATTCTTTAGCGGGAAATACCAATAACTTATTTATTTGGCAGTGTACGGTTAACAACATAATTAATAATACAATTCATAATGAAACGTACCTAAATGTATAGATAATATAATATAAAAACCCAATACATAAGATAACTTCCATTTATTTATTAAGTTGCTCGGTTTTCTTCTCTCTTAAGAATCTCGGCACTTTGGAACGAGCAAATAGCTTCACAGACACTTTTATCTTAATATAATATTTGTCTGTTAACTTTCAATTTGTCTAATTGGTCTAAATGTAATAAACGGTAGTACTTCGACTATGAGTAAAGAATTAAATACCGCAACTGTACTGTGAGTTTTCAAAATGAAATCCTCAACCACATCCTTTCAGTAGATATTAAACTGCATAAAGATAACATTATCCACTAAAATCTTCCTTATTCCCTGAACAGTAAAGTCGTATATCTTAAAGCAGACTTTACAGCAAATGGTTCAACCATTTAAATTCGATACATTTCTCTTATCAAAATCGATCCATAGACGTGAATAAAAGTTGTATTTGTACGTGAGTAGCGTTAAACGGTTCGATAAAATAGGCGAGGTGCGCCGGCGCCGAAATGTATTCGCAATTCATTTATCAAATGCTATATCCATAGGTCAGGCATAGAGCGGAAGAATGATGTTTTTTTTCTATGCTTTTATAGAATGTAAGGGCTTTTTATGGTGTTTTTCGTTAATGTGGATGTAATAAGGGTCTGGGTTAAAAAAGAGGTTAGAAGCCATAGATGTGGGGGTCTGTTAATCCAAAAAAAACAAAGTGACACGTGATGTGAAAAAAGCCGCCGGACCATTTTATATTGTATCGTTATACGTCAAAAATGTGTATGGCTAACATAATTACAACCTGGTATGGCTATAAATCTGTCACTTGACCGCAAGCTAGTCGCGGAGAACCTAACGGGTAACCGGGGTTTCGGCTCGACGTGCAGGAGAAGGAACGGGGTGGTTTTTAGTCAGTAAGAGTCTGACACTCCCTCCCGCCTCACCCAGGCGGGAGCAGTCATTCGATGATTTTCCCCGCTTAAAAGAAAAAAAAAAGGCTGTCCTACAGCTAAGTGAGGTAACGATATCCCCAAAGTGGCAGTAGTTGGGCGCTAACAGCTGAAGGTCGACCTCAATGGTGTGTGCTCAAAGGCATGTATCCAGTAGTAGATAGAAATGGACTGATAATGTTCATGAGGTATAAATAGTCAGAATGCTAAATAAACGTCATTCTTGGATGAAAGCTATAGGAAAAAGAATGTTGTGATTTCCTTATTTATGTCTGAATCTTCTAGAAGCAATGTATCTAATGCGCACAACACAATAATATTATAATCTGATAACATTAGTCCTGATAATTTGGCACACTTGGGCTATCGCGCATGTCTGTGTGTGTATTTGTGTTTACGAAATACCTTGATGAATGTGTTATTATTAGTACATAATTGAATACAAAGTCGTTTTTGGCTTCAATGTGTGTTATGGTCTACTAGAGTTTACCAATGGGTTAAATCTCTCAATGAAACAGTCGGAACACGTATTCTCATCTGCCACTATTCCAAAATTCATCCAAATCTCGCAGAAAAGATGGCTACCATGGGTTTTTCGGAAGAATGTAGATGTAGATGCAAATAACTGATTTTGAAATTTATTTTCTTCAAGCTGGCATACCTTCTTAGTCACTCGCACAGTTAAACTTATTACGATGAACATTAACCTTTTGAATGCCAGAGCAAAAACACATGAACCTGCCCTCAACGCCAAGCCACAAATTCCGCGCAAATTTCTACGGAAGAAATAGGGATTCCAATAGGGAATCAAATTGTTGATTTCGTGTTTCCGGTTCCGCTTTTTCTGTCTTGTATTTGTGTCGTTGGCGTCCAGGGACAGTTTTCACTTGTCACTTATATGTGACATCGGCGCTCAAAAGGTTAAGTTGGTGTATTAAGCAATAATACACTAATACACAAATTCGCATTGCCAAAATGGCGCCCTGATTCGGCAATAACATAAACGGGCCACAGGCCTACCTCAATAGGCTATTAAGGATATCAGTTCTATTCATAAACCATACTGAATAGGACCACCCACTGGGTCTATTCAACTCTATAATGGCTTCGATTCGCGTACCGATGTCAATATTTGACGCGTGATAACATTGCTAATGATTTTAACATAAAATCGAACTTTCGAAGTCGTTAACCTACTGCCTATGCTTCGAAATGTTGTAAACAGTTTAGTCCGGTTTCTTATTTATTTATTTATTTATCATTTCATGTACCCACACCATACAGACAATATTACAAGAGACAACACATTATAAGCATGAGGTACATAGGTACTGCATATCCCTTAAGGGATTTCTTCCTGCAGACCTGCGACAGGAAAAGGAATATAAACATAAGAATTTCTTTTTGATGATATGATGGGTCCCAATTTTGGTGATAATGCCCTTTTTATCGTATCTATTCTGTTTCGAAAGTATGTTTAGAGTAGATGCTTTTGGGTAACTCGAATTTTTCGCTAGTTTATGGTATGGAAAATCTGAAATCCTTGCTGACCAGAAGCAATGGGGACTGCCGTATTTTTGCTAACCAGTTCGCACTAGTGTGAACCTCTCGTTATTCGTCCAATAGAGAATTGGCTACTGTTACACCATTGGATGTTCAATATTTGACAGCTGATGTGATTGAAGAAAAAAAGCCCCTCCCTCTACATTTGTCATTCCATCACAAATCCTAATACATTTCCTGAAGGGTATAACCTAAGTGTCTTCAAGGCCTGAGTGAATAGATTGCTTATGGGACGACGTGCTCCATCGTAGACCGCATCATTGCTTACCACCAGGCGAGATAGTGGTCAAACGTCGGTCCGGGAAATATAAAAAAAACTGATCAATCGCAACTGTGATCACTAAATTAACTAGCAAAATGCGGATAATACCTAGTACCTACCCGTCTATGTACTTACCTGTTTTAAATTTAAAGTAAATATCGACGCCGGTGTAGTTTCATCTCTATGAATATGCCAATATTGCCAATAATTACGCTAGCTAAATATTTGGCTGCTCTATGTAATATTTATATATGTAAAATATATATTTGCCTCTTTATGTGTACATTCTTTTTAAAAATGAGTAAATTCATAATACATTCCTCATTATCGTCATCATAAGCTATATGTAGATACAGTCCGAACTTGAACAGTTCTGAATCCTACCTACAGGCTGTTGTTTTCTAAAGTATCATCAACTTCGAAACAACAACATCAAATCTTCGAAACCAATCTCAATGTCAATGCAATTCCAATCCAATAAAATCTCAATAATTATTCAATATCAAAACTATACAACCCCTATCGTAGCTGTTAAAATAGCATTCAGAGTGCGGAATATAAAGCCGAATTCAATACCATTTAGTTCATTTAATATCCACGCAATACGGGTGCAATGGGCGCTAGTGTTGAAAATCAAGACTAAGAAAGTTCACAATACCAATGTCGATCGATCGGAATTGGATTCAAGAGTAAGCCCCCAGATCAGTAGTTTCGGAATGCATTGCGGTTAAAAATACAAACATTGATCTTTATTAAACACTAGCTTTTACCCGCGGCTTCGCTCACGTCACAAAAGGATAAAAAGCCAATGTGACATATACCAATACACACAGCGCCATCTATACCAATACTTTTGTTTTCCCTCCTGAATATAAATTTTTTCAGGGATAAAAAGTACCCTATTCAATCCGGACTTCTAAGTTTACGTCTGCAAAATTTCAAAGCAATCGGTTTAGTAGTTACGGCGTTAAAGTGGAACAAACAAACAAACTTACTTTCCGATTTATAATATAGTAAGGAGTAAGGATGGTAGCTATAACCCAAAAACATTCTTCTCGTGTTTCCAAAGCTGGCTAAAGTATAACATACACGTGCCAAGCATGCTATGGTATAGTGTTTACACTATGATAGTTACGACTCGGTATAAATAAATTAACACTAGATTATAACACCCTGTCGTATAAATTGTCTATAGAGGCCCGGTTGAGGGTAGGTACAGATAGATAGGTCTAGAAATAGTTATATGGCTAGTTGAGATAACAGAGATTACGTGTCGGAATAGTATATGTATGTAGAACAATTCTATGGGTAATCTTTTATTACTAGAATGCTATTTTATTTGCATTTTACTTTATCATATCAATTGAACCATGTTAGACTACATTTCTTTACTTTTATTTTGTGTTTTTTTTTTATTGAGTATGTTCTGTAATTTGTATTATGCGTCAAGCGGGTCTTTACATTGTTCACACATATATGTACAATATTCGACTATGTATCAGAGAGATTGTAAACATACTATTTTTTAAAAGAGTAACGGATGGAGTTTCTTGCTCGTTCTTCTCCACTCGAATCTACTTTTTGGAACGAGCGCCTAGCTTCACAGAATGGCAGACTATTATTTGTTGACGTTTCAAACGTACCAAATTATGGTTTAATTGAAATAAATGCTTTTGAGTTTGAGTTTGCAACCACAATGTCCACTGCTGAATAAAGACCTATACTATCTTCAGATGGGTTTTGCCATAATTTTTATGCTTGGCCGATTTGAACTTGGTTTTGACTTGTAGATCGCGGTTAGTTCACTGAAAATTTAGAAGTTGCTGTAACCCGCTGCAATTACTAGCAGCGCTTTAGGTCATAGGTACCCAGTTCCAATATGCTCCATAAAGGTTCATACTCCTGAGTATTGGATCTGTCCAATCGCGGATAATTTTGTATTTTACGACCCTCACCATAAAAAAAGGAAATGTAGAACTGTACTTATGTATTTATTTTATTCTTTCGCAGGCAATGGTAGCATGCTACCCCGGCTCAGGCAGCCATTACGTGAAACATGTGGATAACCCAAACAAAGATGGCCGCTGCATTACCGCTATATACTATCTGAATCTCGATTGGGATGTCAAACGATGCGGAGGATTGCTAAGGTAAATATCTTAGGCTTTATTTAGCGAAAAGGTCAAATTAACATTGTTGGTCGTTATTTTGTGAATGTTTTAGGGTGGTGCGAAAGTGTTTTTTTTTTAATATTGCCCTATATTTGGGTTTCCTCCTGTGTCGTGGGTGCCAGACCAGGAACAACAATTTGTTGATCACACAAAGAATTAAACTGTCAAACACCAAGCGGTCACCGGTGACCGCGACCTATTGTTCTTTAATTGTGTCTATAAAACCGGTACTCGACGAGTTAATTCGTTTTGGATTCGAACCATGCTTGCTTTAGTTTAGGTTCCAAAGATCTGAAAACAAACGTACCCCCAACATTTATTTATTACCTACTTGTTGACGGTTACTAGCACAATCAGTTTGTACATGTCACCACCTGACTTATGACTGACTGATTTATTGTTTAACTGTATAATGTTTTGGCATGTGTTGCTTATAAAATATAAAATCTATATAAATAAAAATGAATTTCCGTTCGTTAGTCTCGCTAAAACTCGAGAACGGCTGAACCGACTTGGCTCATTTCGGTCTTAAAATGTTCGATACGAAGTTAGCCAGGTCAACTAGTAAATAAATAAATAAATGACTTGACATTTGAAAACATGCTATTGGCCAATAGACTAAAAGCTACACCAGCGCCATCTCATAAACAATTCATTTTAAATATCTTGTATTATTTCCAGGGTGTTCCCAGAGGGTACGAATCAAGTAGCCGACATAGCTCCCATATTCGATAGGATGCTTTTCTTCTGGTCAGACAGACGAAACCCACACGAGGTCCAGCCTGCATACAGCACCAGGTAAATCTTCATACCATATCCTATTACCTACAATTATTAGAAACGAATGAAAATGTACTTTATTTTCTTAGCAATAAGAAGGTAAACAAGGTAAACAAGTTAAACTTGTCTTTACTGTCATAGCAATAAGAACAGAAACAATTAAATCAATTAAAAATCGCGGGTTAGTCACGTGAATATACTAAGAAAAACTCTACTAGTTTCAAACCACAGAGGGGATCTTCCATCTTCCTCAAGAGCAGCGTGCGCGCTCGCGGCGATGTCGCGCAGCCTACCGCTACAGAACCCCTCTTTATTTTACAATTAATTTATGAAAAAATAATTAAACATTTATTACTTAAGACAAAGCAACAATACTAACATTAAATAGTTTTCCAGATATAAAATGTCAAAAACGTTGACCTTGATAGGTTTTTATGCAGCTGTTCATTTTTATTTTTGCTATTTGTCATTATGAAGTATATTTTATAGATCAAAACAACTTCTAAAATCGATTTAACCTTTTAGTTTATCTATCTCCTAGAGATACATGCTGATGTCGAGGTTACTCAACTAATTTCGAACCACGGGCGGGACCTATAAATCCTGCATTACCGACGCGATGAGTGTGAAGTCAACTTTATGTTATTAACGTTTTCGTTTTGGTCATTTTCAGATATGCCATCACGTTATGGTACTTTGATGCACATGAAAGAGAGGAGGCGCGAAGGAATTTCAGTAAGTAGCTCTATTTATAATATGTTTAATAGTAATTAAAAATCGCGGGTTACTCACGTGAATATACTGAGAAAAGCTCTAATAGTTTCGAACCACAGAGGTGTACTGACATACTGTAGGTTGCGTGGCATCTCTGCGACCGCACACGCTGCTCATGAGGTATAACCCCTCTGGAGTTCGAAACTAGTACAGCTTTTCCCAGTATATTCACGTGAGTAACCCACGGTTTTTAGTTAATTTAGTATGTCTCTATAATCAAAACATGTTTAATATTTTTACATGATTGTATATCTATTTTCTACCTTTGTATCCCATACAATATACATAGGACCAAAGGCATGATATTGAATTATATCAAAGATGATATAAAAGATTCAATCTTCGCAGTATATTATTAGACACAGAACACGCACACACATACATACATTAATAATATAGTAAAAACTATAGTAAAACTTGATACGTAGGTATGTATACTTACATTAGATACTTACAACACATATGTAACTATTGTTCCAATCTACCTACTTGAGATAAAATACGCAATTGTGACGTATTGCAACAACAAGCAATAAAATCAAACATAAAATATATTGCTGCTTAAACAATAAAATGTAAATATTTCCTACTACACTACTAACACGAAGAATATGTGACAAAATGAATGAGTCAATCCAGTAAAATCCTGTTTGGTAGTTATTGTAGTGGTGGTATTACATGGGACTCATAATATAGATAGTGAAAAGTGGGTGTTACCTCTGTGTACACCTCTGCCTACTCCTACTGGAATAAAAGGCTTGATGTATAATATGTTATATAATCTTTTTAAGTCAATAAAATAACAGAAGGCCTCTGACTTTCTTAAATAATGAGAATTTACTCTTACTAATCTATTTATGCAAGCCTACTTTAGCATCGGCATTACAAAAAGTGTTGCGATTATTTGTCGCGCTCGTATTTAGGTACATGCCTGTAGAGTGTAGACCACACCACACGATCAATTTACACTTTAATGATTTCAAGCCTCATCATTACAAGTATCAAGCGTACTCCGACTGCAACTTGCGATTCAGTAACAGATATTAATCATAATTTTATTAGCTTACTTTGTAGCAGATGCATAATATTAAAATGGACCGATCGCATTAAAAATAACACGCGTTGATTTTTTCCTTCATCTCTCAGATCTTCGACGACTGAAGCCCCCTTATGCACTAGCGGTCAACCGCGCGGCTAGCCGTTCCCTGCGGTCTACCGCTTTTCCAATTTAATATGCAACCGCTATCGTAACCGCGTCTATCGACACAAAACGCCTAGACGGTCAACCGCTAGTGTGTAAGGGGCTTAGTAGACAATAAATAAACGTATAAAATAAAATACCTAACCAAAAATATTACCAACGCAATACTGTGACATATGACATTAAAATAAACACATTTCTTGCACATTTCTATAAATAAAAAGACTAGTAGAACTTGCTAGAGGGTTTTACCCGATAGCTTGAAATCAGGAAAACGGACTATGATATGTGTCTAGCCGATTGCACTACGTAATAATATGTAAACAGCATTTATAGTGTTTTTAAGTCGTAAATTAAAACTTGTATTATATTTTTATAAACATTGCGATATAGTGATTGTGTCACGCGCTAACAAACTTTGACTAGTGACTAAATGACATACAATGCATATAAAAGTTCTAATCATAGCGGCGATGTCGCGCAGCCTACTGTTGTTTTGTTTCTATCTGTTTATGATAATTAAATATTTATTGTGCGCTTCTTTTTTTATACTTGATGTGCTTACCTACGTTTGATCATTATCTCGCCTGGTGGTAAGCGATGATGCGGTCTACGATGGAGCAAGTCGTCCCATAAGCAACCTATTAACTCAGGCTTAGAAGACACCCAGGAAACCCTTCAAGAAACACAGAGTCTGGTTCTAGATATTCCGCTATTCTTTGCTTAGTATAGTCTCAATGGCTTCCAGATAAGCTGGTTATAAGTAACCTGAGTGCCAAGCACGAATAACTATCGCATTCGTAACGTAATAGTATCGAGCGCGTTCGTCGCTCTGATTGGCCGGCTCAAGTGAATCTACCAATCAGAACGCTTAACTCGCTCGATACTGTTATTATTAGTATTATTCGTGCTTGGCCCTCTGCATCTAACAAATTCCTGCAATATTTATTATATCGACATTAAATATTAATAAAAATCTATTCGTTTTTACAGAAGAACGCGGCCAACCGTCATCAAGTAAGTGATGGCGGCGCCCGTGCGGTCCGCGGCCTGCGCACGCGCACCCCCAGCCAATCAGCGCCGACTGCCTAACTCCTAACACCGGTATTCTAAATTATATTAGAAGATTATATTTAAATTATGTGCTGTTATTGTTATAGCGTTGACAGTTATTGTTATATGTAAAACGTTACTGTTTATAAAATACTACACTGTATGTAGTTTTAAGTTTATTTTTTACTTTTGAAGCAGTTTTTTAATCATTAATAACTTCAGACTATAAACTAACATCATCCTGCTAAGCAAAAACTGTTTCTAATATAATGATAATTAGACACACTATTGCTTGCTGATTTAGGTTTACTATGAGTTTATAGTAAACTTCATAGTAGTCTAGGTTTTTTACTTTTTTTCTATGTTCTATCCTCTATCTCCTACAATGGTGCTATATTTGCATCAATTTAAATTAACCGATTAATTAAGTCATTATATTTTCTGTTCCTAATTTTAACGATTTCAACTTAAGTCAATTTTTTTTATAATGTCTAGGATTTTTTCCTGTGTTGTCGGTGCATTACAAACATACAAGTTCAGAAACAAATGACATTCAAACCCGAAACAACAATTTGTGAATCACACAAAGAATTGTTCCGTGGCACAATCACCGCGGCAACCGTGCAGTCTTATCTTATTCTCAACATAATTTGTTATTTTACAAAGTAAAGTACCTAATCTAACCTATTAAAATGGTCACCGACTTTATTGGATTCAAAACACTGCTTCTGAAGCTTTTTTGACATGGCGTATATTAATAATAAAGAATTGTAACTATCAAAGAAAATTTTTGACATTTCTATTTAATGATTAATATTTACAGTATCTTAGTTTATTTCTCTCTCTTTCTTCTCTAGAACGAAGAAAAGAGACAAATAATTATAATTATGAACTGTCTGACTATAACAATAGCAACACGATATGACTGCCTCACTTAGGCTTAAATAAATTTAAATAAATGTTTATATAAAAAAATATGATTATAGAATTGTGTGACGAGTGAATCTATATTAATCGAAGCAGTCAAGCGCATATATTGCATGTCAGTGGTGATAATTGAAAAACGACCTTAAATCCAATGCTATAAAGCTTAAAGATGTCACACACAGTTGTCACCACTACTAGGCTACATTGCATGTCAGTGGTGACAATTGAAAAACAACCCTAAATCTTGTATGGAAAGGTTTGAAATCGTGAAACAGTGTCACCACTGCCATTCTATAAATAAATATAATTTTATATTTTTAAATGTTTAATTTTCACGTCATGCGACACAAGAGTCATAAATATTAGATAGATAATATAATTAAATAGATAGTTGTAGATAAATTCAATATTTTATTATTGTATGGTTGTTTTTCCATGCCCCCTAAAGTATTAATTTTGTTGAAATATATTTTTTATTTAGACATGTGTTTTTTTAGCTGCTTTTTTTACTATAAACATTTTTAAAGAACATCATACGCTATGTATGTATTTATCGCATGGAATATATAGAACTATTACTATAATAGGGTAGAAACGTTAAATAAATATGAGCCTTATTTCTATAGTAACAAAAGCGCTAAAGACACATTGTCATAATTATGTTTAGTTTGTCTATTTTGCAGTGTTATTCAATGTTTGAGCTAGTTCGCTGATGTTTAGTCTTATTGTTGTTTAAATTACTTTTTTGGTCTTTTAGACTAAGGCAAGACTTTCGGACTTTGGAGTATTGAACTTAGTACGATATGTTTCTGTATGATATTTGTTTGAACATTTCTTGTGAATTTTGAATTCTTTGTTATTGTGTCACTTATATTGTGTGGCACTCATATTTAAATTGTAAATAGTTTCTCTCACAGCTTCGTTTGTTACTTCAATTTATTCTATCACATTACTATTTAGGAAAAGTGCCTTAAAATCCGCTTTTATATCTTAAGACCGAAAGTTCAAGCTTTTTCTGATAGACTTGTCAAAATTATCCTATCACCGGCCTCATACATTGGCATGAACATTACATTGGCACCAATGCCACTTGTCCAACATAGGTACTGTAGCCAGCAGGTTAACCAACTGTAATACTTTTATTGGATTTTCGAGTTTATGTAAAAACAATAAAGTTGGAAATCTAATAAAAGAGTAGTTTGACCTGCTGGCATCTATGTGGCCGTCAACGTTAGCTTACGCTAATATTCAGGCCATAGTGTGGGTGAAGTCGACGAGTAATATGTGTGTAAAAAGTATATTTTCCCTTCATTTCTTTCCTTCCTCCACAAACGTCAGTGAACAGTGAGAATGGCAAAGACTGAATACAAATTCGACACGTGTTTATGAGATTTCCTACAAATGTTCGACTGTTGACCTATTTTTGACCTTAACGTCTTAAGTTAAGATTCAAATCAACGTCGATCAGTCAACCGGACATTTTATTTATTTGCCTTTATTGCAAATGTTATTTATATTGATTAATTAATTTACTGGCTAAATTATAGTTTACTCAGTAAGTTATTTATTATTTTTTTATATACCCGGTTTTCTGTTCTACTATTATACTCGGAATGTTGCCTTGTCAGACGATCGCACTGAAATATAATTATGAAGTTAAATATTGTTAAATGCTTTGGGCCTGTTTCATAAATACCGATTAAGGTTCTATTAGAAGGTATGCCAATTATATTCGCCTGTTAACACTAATCGATACCTAATCGGTGGTTGTCAAACAGGGCCTTGGTTACACAGCGATTTCCACCGAGTTATAAAGGTTATAAAACTGAAATATTAAGTTTTTATTTAGGTGTGTTTGGTCACAAAATACCTATCATGATCATGTGACGTTAAAATACCTCTCACCGACAGTTTTGTAAGAAATTGATGTAAATAAAAATAAGAAAAAATGAACCTAAGGTTTGGGTTGAAATGGACAGACGTTGATTGATTTTTTAAAAGTCGTTTCTGTCAGTATAATTTGCTATATGCGTAAATTATGTCCTTATATCAACAGTTTGTTAAGAAATCATCAAATCAAGCTTTTGGCAGCACTTGTAAAACTCAGTTGACCTAAAGCAACTGAGGCGCCATCTAGGCACAGCAAAATTTTGCCTGTCGAACTGTCTTTGTTCCAAACAACGTCTATTCATTTCAACCGTATTATGCATACTTAATTTTTATTTTATAAAGAAATGTTGTGTGTATAGTATTGAATTTTATACAAAATTAGTATAATTATTTTGTTTTTCCCTTTGTAACTTAAGTTTAAATATTTGTATAAATAATCAATATTATGTAAGCTGTGTGATTTAATTTTATTAGTCGATTATGATTTTGTATATGCTGTATCGTTTATGACATTGTTGTCCTACAAATGTTTGTTATAAAGTAGACCAAATTGACTTGTGTTAAGTCATAAATTATTTTGTGGACAGAGCCTGGTATTAAATTTTACATTGGAATTCTTTTCTTTTATTTATACGGCTACAACTGCGACTATTAACCTCCTGAATGCAATAGATCTTTAGCCAAACGCCACTTTAGCGCTTGTCTACAGAGAAAGTGTAAAAATAAAGTGTATGAGGATGACACTCACATTGTCAAAATTTACGTCAATTCCATATAATTTGGTTTTCTATTCTAGATGTAGAGAAGCGCTAAATGGCATTTGGCTGACATGAGACACAATAAAAATACAATCATTCTCGCGTGGACACGTTTTAGACACACGAAAGGGTAAAAACACATGGTACTATGATGTCAACATCATATCAGCCATATAACATCCCGTGTAGACTTTCCCAATGATTTCAAGATCGAACCGTAAGGTGGAAGTGACCTGCATTCATCGATCATTTACACACACACCTTTTGTCTTTCAGAGGTAGGAAGGAATGTACATTTAATATTATTTGCTCAGTTTAGCCAGCATAATCTTGAACCCTATTACCATACGCCGAGTGTCTATTTTTGTTAAAAATCCTTGACCTGATGATATTAGATGTAAGTTCAATATTTAGAAAGCTTTTATGAAAATCCAATTAATCGCGACGGCATCGCTTTGATACACATGTCGTATTGATTATATTATCATAGTAAGTTGCTATGGTACGCAGTCACCATACATTGATAATATATGGTGCTGATAAACGTACAGTATTATTATATATTGGTGAAGTTTTCTAATGCAATATGAGCGTAAGCTGCATGGATCGTATTAGTATTAAAAGGGAAATAGTAAGTCCTAATTCAGCTTAAAAGAAATTGATTAATTAACTCGTCGAGTACCGGTTTTATAGACACAATTAAAGAACAATAGGTCGCGGTCACCGGTGACCGCTTGGTGTTTGACAGTTTAAAGACTGAGGATGTATCATGCAACCCTTATGAATTGGTTTTTAGGCCTACCATATCACTCTCAATTCTCATTCCACTCCTTATCCCCGCTTCCCAGACTCCATGAGAATTACGAAAATAAAAACCAGTAACTAAGTAGGTATAGAGAATTCGTGTAACTACTAAGTAATGAAACTCGCTCTGAATGGCCATGGAATGGTCGCCTTTCTGTTTCAGTATGAATCACAGACAATATTTAATTTTTAATCCATCTAACCTTCAACACTTATAGAAAATGTTGCTTGTGAAAGCCTATGTCACTCAAATCGAATGTCAAAGGGACAAACAATTTTGTCTAACAGTCATAATCTTTGAAATGATTTTGTATTTTTAGAAATATCTTTAATTTGTTTAAACTTTTTACATAAGTTTGTGTTACATCGATCTATTTAATTGTTATTGCTATACATTTTGAGATAATTATTATGACTACTACTCACAAAAGAAAGAATCGAAGTGATGATAGCGATCAGCATGCTGGTAACATGTTTATCCGGAAAGTTCCTGGCAGACAGAGACCAACAGTACGTAAAAAAATTGAAAATGTATCTTCAGATGGACTACCTGTAGGCCCCGAGTTACCCATTGGCCGTATAGGAAAGAGTACTATCCTTAGCCGCTGACTGCATCATCACAGACCGATAGGCGAGATACAGATAGCAGTTATATTATAAAAAATAAAGTAATATAGTGATACCCAACTTAGATAAAAACTGTTCCTGGTCCCTAACCAATAGCGTTAGAACATCTACACGTATCACTGGGTACGATCTAGTAGGTTCCTTCCCTTTTTTGAGAGAAAAATCATTCAATAAATTTTCCCGCCTTTTACTAACTTAAACCCGCTCTGAGGGCGTAGTACGAGTTTCTTTTTCGTTTAAAGTAATCGAAACGAAACCTCGTCCGGTGCTCTGATTGGTTGGTTCATTGGAGCCGGCCAATCACAGCGCCGAACGCGTACTCGTTACGATTATTTTCAAAACAAACTCGTACTAAGGCCTCTGTTGTACTCCTGCTTCGACATGGAGCCCCGGTAAGGCGCCCACTATCGGTGGGCATCGGTGCGGCTCGGTACAGCTCAAGCGCTTTACGCCGGAGAAGACGAAGACCGCCTCGGCGTTTTTAGCCATGCTCACGGCTGCCGAGGCAGCCCAAAGTCGCCCGATGCAGCTCTAGGCGCCCGAGCCGCACTCATGCATCTCTTAGGCGCCCGAGCCGCACCGATGCCCACCAGTAATGGGCGCCGCGCCGGGCCTAACCCGCTTCACGTCCAAGTCTTCCGCGACTGTACATAATTATGTGCGTACTGCTGATGACGCAGTCAACTATAATGTTGTTTTACAGAGCATCGATGGTGAGAATACTTCCAAACACTCTGGGCTTCATAAAGAGGAATCTACCTTTTGGTTAGCAACAGACTTTTTACTTAATATTTACTTAGGTACCTAGGTACTTCTACCACAAATAAAAGTAATGTCTATAAAATACTCGCATCATTTCTTCTGAGTAGATTTACGTCATTGCCTGTCAGTAGATCAGTAATCTTCTGTTACCTATAAAGATAGATTATTCGTAAAAAATACGTTTTCTCTATTAATAAATTACATCCTTCTGACCTCGATAAATAGGTAGGTAAGTATTTTGGGATTTATTTATAGAACAGTAACCTGCCCAAGTAATGAAGTATATTCAAAAATCTAAAACGTTACCTTGCCAGTTACCAACCGCTAGTGCTGTGCGTAACAATTAAAAAAAATATAGTGATATCGATAAAAATAATTAACGTCAATTTTTTTCAGTCTTCCATATTATCAAGCTATAATGTTTGCCAGTGCATTAGAAGATTCTTTAGCACAAGTGCGGATATTGGGTGAGGGATTTATTTTGGTTGTTTTTAAAACAATTTGCATTATTTCTTAAGGTCTAGCAAGGGGTTTCGAGTTCAGAACCCGGATCAGGTAATGTATTGGGTATGAGGTTTCGATTATAGAAAAATCATAGCTCAATATAAAATAAAAAAAAAAACTCTGCCCATTCTTACGGAAAAATAAAGACGTTATGATATGTAGTAAACGTAGTTATACAATCCTAATATGCTTTATTATCGTACAGCTGAATGTAATAACCAGTTACGTTTAATAAAAACCATGGCTGACATGGCTATCCTGCGAGCGAAGAAATATCAAATAAAAAGTGTCGAACATAGAGAAGATCTGACCAGGATTAACACCAAAGATAGGGAAATATGCAGTACAAACTAGACAAACTTGTTGCTGACAGGTATGTCTTATAATTTACTAACAGAACCATAAAAGGGAATGCTTTGCTATGAGACTCATCTGATGTGTAAAGTTGTATTTTATAAAGATAACTATATTTTCAGTAACGGAAATGTCAACAAAGCTGAATGTTAATGCTTCTTCTCTTTATCCAAGCCCAAGGTTGTCACACAATTTTGTTGTTTTCAGAATATACTTTCAAGAAGTATTGGAGGAAACATACCTAGAGTTAGCACTGTACAGATGTTTCAGTGTGCTCACTAGTTGCAATAAGGAAGTAGAAGAACAAGATTTATATAGAATTTGTCTCGCTGAAGAAGAAGGCAAAAATAAACTGTTTGTACATAGAAGTCACATTATTCCACGTTTTTCTCATACCCGGCAATGTTTGTTAAATCACCAAATGTACCAAGTTACCAACTGTTTTTAATTTTCCCAAATAATTCTTCACAATAGTAGTTTCACTAATCAATCAAATGTAATTTATTTTAATGCTTTGTTTGATTTAATAGCTCTCGACGTGAACTGATGAAGCAACTAAGACAACAACGGATTCATATTAAAACGGTCGCTTACGATACAGACCTCATTATAGATCAACTTAGGAGTAAAATTGAAGTGAGTAACGCTATTATTTTTTACCTGATTTAAATTTTCCAACAGCACAAAGCACCTGAAGTTTGATCAGTATTCGACAATAGGCTCACTCCCTATTGTGTTAAAGTGCAATGTGTGCCTTGGCAATTTCGGATATAAAAAGGTGTGCTATGTACCTTTGTTTGAAAGCGTATTCTTAGGTGGCTGTCAAAAATAGCTGGTATACATATAGGAACCTGCTTTATTGAACTATTTCTTTCTCATTTGTAATGTTTTCTTGAAATGTTTAGGACGCAGCTTTGAATTCAGAGATTATAGGAAGGTACATTACCAACTGGCAGTGCGCACGCACTGAACAGCACACACAAACTATTAATGATACAGAGTCAGGGCCTTCCACTGCAATATCCTACTTCCGAAACAGAGGCGATCAAGAACAGAGAGTACACTCGGAAATTGACCTGCTCGTGAACGTTTTCATCAATGTAAGATATCCTTACTAAACCAAACATTTTTTATATTTTCAGAAAAAAATTAATGACACGTGTTTGTGACGTAGCTAAGGTTTTCTAATAAACCAATACAATTTTAATATCTACACTTCAATATCTAAATATTGAACTCTAATACAAATACAATTTTAATATATACAGTTCAATATTTAGATATTCAAGTGTATATATTAAAATTGTATTTTGAATCCAAATCCATCGACAGAAATATTAGTAGGTTATTGAAACTAGCCACTAATGACTTTGTTCTACCGGTAGATACCATAGCTTGAGTGTAGCCAGTTGTATAGTAAATTTTGTTGATGATTATGATGATGATGATGATGAAATGTTTATCGTACAGGAGACTCTGGCAAAGGTGGAAAGTTGGATGAACAAGTACGACACGGATATGGAAGCAATAGACTTAAAAATCACTATAATGAAGAACAAATATCAAGATGAAGTAGCCAAGAGAAAGAGCATGGAGGATGATGTAAATATTCAGTATTTTTTATTTAACATTTACATAAATATTTTTTAAAATAATAATATATAGATAGATTTTTTAAAAGAGTAACGATGTCTCGTTCTTCTCCAATTAAAACTACACTTTAGAACGAGGATCTAGGTTCACTGACCGACTGTCTGACGAACAATTCAATTTTGATATTTTAAAAGTGCCTAATTAAGGATTCATTTAAATAAATGCTTTGACTTTCCCATAATTCATGTACCAATTACATAGGTTTGGAATCAGTGGAGTTCTAAGACTATATCTGTTTTATAATCGCCTACTACATAATTTATTGTATCAGTTACAATGTATGTACATGATGATCACAACATAAAATCACGCCTTTTATCCCCGAAGGGGTAGGCAGAGGTGCACATTATGGCACTTATGCCACTGTACAATGTAGCACCCACTTTTCACTATTTATGTTATGAATCCCATGTAATAGGGGGTGAGCTTATTATAATATACCGGGCACATTGCCAGAATCCGTGATACTAGTAAGAATTTTTAAAAATCGGTAATACTTTGCCGATACGATTTAACTCTAAGTAATATTTCGTTTGTTTTTTACTATTAGCTGGCTCACCACGCTGATCAAATGACACTATGGAACAAGTTCAAAGATGACCGTGAGAGGGCACGGCTGTACAGAAAGAAGATGACTGAGTCTGCCATTATTGTACAAGCGTGGTGGCGAGGACTACTTGTACGACTTGAACTAGGTCCATTTAGGCCTAAGAAGAAGGCACCTACCAGGCCAGATGATAAGAAAGGAAAAAAGAAATAATTAACTTACGTTAAAGTAGTTTATACCGTAAAAATTACATTTATTACTAAAGTTTAGTTTTTCTTGGCCTGATTACAATAATCAATATATTTGTTTTATAGCTGAAGTCATGGATAAAGAACTTAGTAACCAACTTACAACTTTTCCTTACGTCTGAATGATTATTTTTGAACATCGATAAAATTATCGATATAACATATTGTCATCCCTAATAGTATTTTTAATTTACTTTGTTATACTTTCTTATAGTTAATATTTACTGTACTTATTGAGAATTTTTATTTATTTATGTTATAGTTTGGTTAATTTTAATATTATTTTTAAATATTTTATGTTTAGTTGAAATATTAAACTTGATTATTACTTAATCAGATGTTTTATTTGTTTTTTTTTTATATAGGTTAACTTTTTATTTGTTTAACTTACACAGTTTTATCCTACCTATTCCCCGATACTTGTTACAGTAAAACGGCGTGAATAGATTTCGAAGTGTATATAGATACAGAAGAGGGGTGAATAAATATTGAGAAAATGTTCCAGTATTTACTCACCCCACTCCTGTATCTATTCACCCCACGAATTCTATTCATCCCGTTTTACAGTGTACGTTTTACAGTATACTACATATCGTAATAAATTCGCAACAAATTAAAAATAATACAAAAGGTTTTTATCGATAGTATCATTATAATTTTATCGTGCTTTATTACTTTCTTTGAGGTAGGTAACCTTCTTTAGGGTAGGTTTACCTCTTTACCAAACTTTTATAAAAGATAAAAAACAGAAAGTCTTCAAAAATAGAATGCAAATAAAGCCTGATACACAATTTCCATTTCAGGATCTCAATATTTTTCTTCTGGCCTTTTATCGTGTAGTATACCAGATAAGTATTAGATTTTTACACAGAAGATGTAATAGACGCTAATTAAAATCGTTTTCAAGTATTTAACTTCCGTTCTTATTTGAAATTTGAGAAAAAAAATGCTATTCATGCTAAAACTCGAAAATTGCTGGACCGATTTGGCTAATTTTGGTCTTGAATTATTTGTCCAGGGAAGGTTTACAAATTGAATAAAAAGAATTTTAGGCATTATGAAGTTTGCCGGGTCAGCTAGTTTTAGTTATGAAAATGCTAACACTAGATCTCATGTAGTTTCCAACCATGCCGTGATCTATGCGAATCTTGGGACGACTAAAAGTCGTCCGTCTGTACCGGTCTGTACCTGTCTGTATTTGTTTCTAGTTATGTCACTGTTATAAACTTCTGTCACAGTACTTCAAATCAAATTCCTACTCATTTTAAAAGCAGCTTTGCAAGCTAAAAGACGTTTTTGAATTAACATTAAGGAAGTTCTTAGAAATATTTTTATTTAAGTGATTAGCGTATTTCTTAGAGAGTACCTATAACCAACATAGGGGAAATTTCTTATCAAAAATGGAATCCCCTATTCCTGGACGGCAGCATCGAATTCAAAGCGTTGTTTCGGAAACTTGGGGTCGTGGAACGGTGTACGACTGCGACTATGACTATGACTATGACGAGGAAACATTAGATTCCAAGCGGTCCCTTGTTAAGGTGCGTACACATAGTACAGACTAAGGTACTTAATAGCCCGCCACACACTGTCACACACACCATCTTGCAAGACTTCGCAGTCCTAACGAGGTAGGACTACTTAGGTATTCTAGTTCGAGTATTAAATACGGCTTTGTATAACTATAATAATAAAACGGTGCAAGTCATGTTTGAGCGCATAAAGCTTTGTTTCCTAGGATAGCGGTGTCGTCATAATTATAGCGGCCGTAATATTACGGACACAAAAAGACGGCCGTCTTTACGCTGATGACATGTGGAAAGTTCCACGGCCGTATTAATACACCGTCAGTAATTTTTTTTAAACAAACGTAAAAATTGTCCCGGATTGAAAATGGAGGACCTTGACTTAGCTTTAGTTATTTACTTGGAGGATGAACTATCATCAGAAGAGAATTTATTCAGAACACATTTTGCGAGCTACCCTTTCATTGTGTATTTGAAAATTTTCATTAAGCACATGGTAGTAGGAGTGAAGGTACCTTACCCAATAATAGCAAAATAAAATACTATGTAGTTTTACTAAAACCTAACTTAATTCTTTTGTCACATCTATAGTGCTGTCAATTGTCACGCAAGTATCGATATCGATAGTTAAGTAAAATCGATTTCAATACACTCGTATTAAATCAATTTCTTCTTGTAGGGTTCAAGATCAAAATTGAGCCAGAAGATGTCAGGTCTTTCGGAACTTGAGATATGTTCCGAAGATACTGAAACTGTTTTGAAGAACAGGTATCATTATTTATTTTTGTGCTTAGATACATATAATACTTTTGGTATTCTAATGATTTTTTTTTAGGTTGCCCTTCCTGTTATCAGCCTTTTTTGCCACTATTTTTGAAGATGTATTGGCACAAGTATGGATTTTGGGTATGATCAGTCTTATTTAAATGTAAAATATAAATACATGGGTGGGTTTAATGCGATTGGTGTTATTTGTGGTTATTATTGTATTTCTGACGGTAACAGAGACAGGGGAAGTAATTGTTATATTATTCTAATAAATAATTAATTGTTCCCAAATTGTTAGCTCATGATTATGATAGATAAAGGTTATTTGTATATTTTTTATGGGATAAACCGGTAAACGAGCCGACGGATCACATGGTAAGTAATCGGCGTCGCCAATGGACACCCGAAAAACCAGAGGCGTTACAAGTGCGTTACGGGCCTTTTGAGAATTGGGAATTTGAGGATTGTGGGGGATTCGGGGATTGCGGAGACTAGAGAAGGAGATAATTGGGCATCCGGTAACTTCACTCACACGACGAAATACAACGCAAACGTTGTTTCACGTCTGTTTTCTGTGAGGCCGTGGTATCACTCCGGTCGAGCCGGTCCATTCGTGCTGAAGCATAGCTCTCCCACACTTGAAAGTAGGCCTAGAAATTACATTGATTAACAGGGAAGTTAAAAACTGGTACCTAACTAATCTATATCTCTTCTCTTATGCTTATAATTTTAGAAAATTGCAACAATAGTTTGAAAATCCAGAAGATGATGGCGGATATGGACTATTTGACGGCGATGAAGTATAATGTGCGTCGGAATGAAGTAAATGATGAGCTTGTTGGAGTAAACGCTCAAAATCTCAACAGTGTGATTTTTAAGATTAAAAAATTAGATACGGATAGGTAAATATTTACATTAATTGTCACTTTTGTTACTAATCTGAGACGATACATTTTATTAAATTTTATTTTATTCCTAGAAAATTTTTGAATAATGTCATGACGGCAACATACTTATCATTGGCACAAACACATAGCTTTGAACCACTTTCCAAATGTATCAATTCAATTTTGGAATTAGACGAATACCGTATACAAATAGCGGAAGAAGAAAGTAAAAATAAGCTGTTGGTATATTTTTTTTGTTTTTTAATTTTATTATTGTACTTGACCTTGACTACACAAATTTCGAATAATTATGATAATTATTTATGTACAGTATACGTAAGGAACTGAGCAAACAATTGAGACAGCAACATAATCATATAAGAACTGTTTTGTATGATACCGACGTAACTATTGATAGACTAAGAACCCAGGTGGAAGTAAGTTTATTTTTACTTTATTGTAATCTTCTTGATAGTCGGTTTATTAATGAACCTGGCTATTTAAAGTACATGCATATATACAGCTTGACAAAAAAGAAATAATGAGGTCGCTATTATCGTATTTATCTGTGGCTGTGGAAACTACGTCCCAATCGGTTTTGATATTTGCTATTTTTATCGAGTGTTTTTTGCCAAGTTGTCAATGCACACTTAAATAAATACTTACAAGTATAACTGAATCTTGTTTGGTTAGTTATACCTAAAACTATACATAACTCGTTTAGCTATTTTTTGGTCACAATCATCCTATATCTATTTTTCTGATACCATAAGGATTTCCAAAAATTCTTCCATAATAAAGTGAGCTAAGCATCCCCACTGAAAAGCAAGTTAATATGTTTGCTTCCTGTATTTATTTTTATTTTTTTGAAACGTTGCCCCACCCTAGGATTTTCTACTGTATCGTGGGTGCATTTATAAACATACAATTTCACATACACATGACACCCAGACCCGGAACAACAATCTGTGGATCACACAGAGTTGTTCCATACGGGAATCAAATCCGTGATACGTTGCGTGGCAGCCAGTTACCCAGCCACCGCGCAAACCGTGCAGTAGATTTTTCTTTATTAGTCAAACAAAATCGTAGGATCAAATCTTCTAATAGCGGTTATATTTTAGGATTCTGTTTTATACTCTGAAGTTCGTGGTCGCTACATAGATAACTGGCAACGAGCAAGGACTGAACAACATAATCAAAGTATTTATGATACTGAACATAAGCCAGCATCTGTCATTGAATATTACAAAAAAAGAAGCGATCATGAAATAAGAATTCATACAGAAGTGGATACTCTTGTTTCGATTGCGATCAACGTTAGTAAGATATTAATGTTTCGTTTATGGTTCAAGTGTAATAGATATTATTACACAGATTAATTGATAACAAGTGAAGTAAATGATTAACACGAGATGAAAAAGAAGTTATTTTTATTAAATACGGCAATTACGGCGAACCTACATCTGTATGGGATTATGCATATTTTGAATTTATCTAGTTCGTATGTGTACCTACAGCTAGCTCTATTTAGATAAATTCTATTTTAAGGAAATATTACAACGAATTGAAGAGTGGATGGACAAATATGATAAAGATATGGAAGCAATTGATCTTAATATACAAAGAAAGAAAAATGATTACCAAGACACGCGTGAGAGAAGAAAACGTCTTGAAGAAACGGTTACTATGATTGTTTTTTATGCTTCTTAGATATTGCATTTTGAAATTAGAAACATCTTTTAATCGTCGCCATCTGAATGGGCCTCACATTAATCAACGCCGTGCTCGCTCAAGGAAGCTTGGCTATTTCAAACTTATAATTGAAATTCTAAGTACATCAAAGACCCAGGCCGCACTGTGGCTTTTTTATGTGTGACTTAATTAATCACAAAACCACCACAGATAACTAAGTCGCGGTTGTAAGCCTTAAAATTGTCAACCGAGGGCTGGGCTCGCTGCCATCGCAGCGGTAAGTCCCCTCTTTGAGAAGTGGCTTGAGAGACGCTACGGCGTCCTCACCTACCGCCTGACGCAGGTCCTCACCGGACATGGAAGTTTCGGGAGGTACCTGTGTCTGATGGGGCGGGAGGAAACGCCCGGGTGTCATCACTGCGAGGACCGCCCTGAGGACACGGTGGAACATACTGTAGCGGAATGCCCTGCGTGGGCTGAGCACTACCGTGCCCTCAGGGAAGTGATCGGCGATGGCGACCTCTCGCGTCCAGGCCTAGTGCGGGCCATGATGCGGAGCGAGGGTGACTGGGATGCCGTCTCCTCCTTTTGCGAAGCAGTCGTGGTAGCTAAGGAGGAGGCGGGACGCGTGAGGCAGCGAAGCGCTGCCTCCTCGCAACCCAGCCATCGCGAAGGACACACCAGGCATCGGGGATCGCGAGACGATCTCCGGCCACCGTAAGCGCGGGCCTGCGGACGGCGAGCATGGGTGGCTCCCCGTCCGATCAGAAACAGACCCGAGCGTACCTCAAAGAGCCATCAGACCACCACAGATGGGGCCCAATAGGGCCGATGCCGATTCGGAGTCGCGGAGAACCTAACGGGTAACCGGGGCTCCGGCTCGACGTACAGGAGAAGGAACGGGGTGGTTTTTAGTCAGTAAGAGTCTGATACTCCCTTCCACCTCACCCAGGCGGGAGCAGTCATACGATGATTTTCCCCCCTTAAAAAAAAAAGCCTTAAAATTGTCGGCAATGTTTTAAACTTATCACTTAAGTTCCGATCTGTACAGAACTTAAGTGGTAAGTTAATAATCCTATTAACATAAGCAACATTTGCCGCCGACGCTTGTTGGCGGTAAGCGGCAACGGTGGCAGTTGCCTCTGCCGTTGGCGACATGCCACTTGTGTGTAAGAGCTCTTAACCTGCGGGTCAACCATACAATTACTTAGTACCTATATTTTCATTTGTTTTTTTTCAGTTTGATAAACATATATCGCAAATGAAGCTCTGGAACGACTTTAAGGAAGAACGGGAGAAAATACGTGTTTACCGTGCTAAGATGACAAAATCGGCGATAATCGTGCAAGCTTGGTGGCGCGGTTTACTTGTACGCTTAGAACTTGGGCCATTCAGACCTCGCAAGCCTAAACACGTTGCTAAAAAGAAGTATGAATATTGATCAAAGAAGTCAAAAAAGAAGCTGACAAAAAGAATACTATATAGTCGTAATTTGATTTTATGTTATTCTGTACTCTCATTGCTAGTTAATTTATTTAATAAACTCATTTTACCTTTTCAAAGTTTTTAATTGACATCTGTTGGAGGAGTCGTACACAAAACTGCGATGCGACTTCACATCGCAAAAATATGCCTGCTCCCTCTACGCGTCGCAAGAACTTACGAATTGATTCGCATGGCGCATCAAAATCTTCTTTGTTTCTTTTTCTGTATCTCCTAAGCAATAACAGAAGTGAACACTTCTTTTTACGATTCATGTCACGACCTACTCGTTATCCGACTGCCTCGTTGGCCGAGTAGTCGTGAGTGCGACCAGTGGCGTAGCTAAGGGGGGGCGGCGGGGGCGGCCCGCCCCGGGTGTCACCCGTTTAGGGGTGACACCCGAGCCCGACTATGACAATCAGTTATAGTTCTTTCTATTTATAAAAAATCGTAAATCTGCGGCAGAGAGCATAACCGCCACTAATAAAATTATCTAGGTAACTATAATATCGTACCACGAACATAATAATTGATATTAAAAAAAAAACAATGTGCACAGTGTCAATCGATCAGGGATTCCCCCAAAATTTAATACCCCGTTCGCGCATAACCAACGCTAGTCAGGGGATTCCCTCGATATAGCGCTCGTCACTTGTATTGTGGATTGGGCTTCTTTTGTTTCCGACCGCATTCATTTCAATATTCGCTTACGTGAACGTGTGAAAGTCTAGTGCAAAGTGTTTGTTAAATCTTAGATATTATAAACAACATTTTTTGTATAAAAGTCGATTCTTGAAGAAAATAAACAAGGTAAGTGAATTATTTTTGTTATTACAGGTAATACTTACATTTTTTACCCATTTAGTTTCTAATACATAGCAGTATCTTAGATTATTTTGAAAAACCCTTCAATTTTATTCTCTTTTAATTACTGTGTATTTTTGAGTGTATGTAAGTATGTATGTATGTCTTTTCCTTTGTTAAACTATATTATTGAGACGTCCTAAATGATAAATAGGTACCTAAAGAAGGTATTTCAGACGGATTGCAATAATATTATTTGTTTAGCCTGGGCAAGTATTACTTATCTACTAAAGGTATTTATTTATTAAAATAGGTTTTAAAGACTTTGCTGGTGTAAAAAGATTTTACTTATATTTCTACACGTTTTACGATATTACTTTAGGTAATAATGTTTAATTGTAAATAATATTCTTATTTATTATTAACTTACTTAATATTTTCCTATCTAATAGCAATGGGATTTGTTTACAAAAACGGAATACATTCAGTTTAGATTTTTGATTGAAAGTTATCATAATCATAATATCATACAACTTCGCGTACGTTGATTTTGCTCCGAGATGAGCAGCTCGAGCACTCGTGGCACGGATATCACAATTAACGTTGGAGTTTTTAACTAATATTTTTCTAATAATACTTAAAAACATATTTACACCCAGACGCAGGATTGTTAGGTAATACAAATTAACAATCCTGCGTCTGGGAAAAATATATTTCACAAAGCTAGTTACGTAACGTGTAGGTGTTTATTTACTGTTATAATTAGTTTATAAAATCAACGTTTCACTTACTAACTAAAAATATTTTTTAGAATACCCAGAACGAAATATGCCTCGGGGAATTCATACTTCGAAAAGACAAAGCGGGTTTCAACAGAGAAAAGCCAAAAAGGCTAAATGGATGAAATTCAGAGCATGTCCGGTTCTCTTTTCAAATATGTCACAAAAGCAGATAGCGGCCAAAGTTCAAGTAAAGTACCCGAATCTCCTGCTGACGAAAGTAATGATTCACATCTTGGAGACTCACATTCAGATAGCAACATCGACAATACAGAATCAATGAAGACGACCCAGGACCTTGACGGAATCAAAATAAATAATGAAAATGACGCCGTTAATGCTACTTTCGGAGATAGTATTAGCTTTGAAGAATCAGTTCAACACTTGAGAGATGTTTCACATTGGAGTTTACCGGTACCTGATAATGTTCGCATTGACATAATAAAAAAGGGCAGTGAACATTTCCAGAACAAAGAAGGACCGTTTCCTACTGTATCTCGTCATGGTTCAAAGATTAAAGGTGATTCTCGTCATCTTTCACAGGAATGGTTTTATAAACCGATGCCTAGTGGTGAAAAAATTCTACGATCATGGATGGTATTTTCTCCTATATCAAATAACCTGTACTGTTTTTGCTGTCGTTTATTTGCTGTCAGTAACATACAAACAACATTTACAACTGGATTTCAGAAGTGGTGGAAACTAAATCCTAAAGTATTGGACCATGAAACTTCATGTGAACATTTAGAAAATTTCGAAAAGTGGAAAACTTTGGAAATGAGATTAAAATCTCACACCACAATAGATGATGCAGCCTTGCAATTAATGAATACGGAAAAACAGAAGTGGAAAAATCTTTTATCTCGATTATTAGATATAACATTGTTTTTGGCTAAACAAAACCTAGCATTTCGTGGACATGATGAAACCAAAGGGTCGTCTAATAAAGGTAATTTCTTAGAACTAGTTAAACTGCTGTCAAAGTATGATGCAGTACTCAAAGAACATATACTATATTTGGAGCAGGAAAAATCACCTAAAGTAACATATTTATCACCAGAAATACAAAATGAGTTCATAAATGTTTTAGCTAATCATGTAAAATGTCAGCTTGTAAACGAAATTAAATCGGCCAAATATTTCGGAATCATGTTTGATAGCACACCTGACGTTTTACATGTTGATCAAATGTCTGAAGTGATTCGTTATGTAAAAATTAATAATAGAAAAGTAGAAGTCAAAGAAGTATTCTTAGGATTCTTTCCTTTACATGGAAAAAAAGCAGCTGACTTAAGCGCTGAAATACTAAAGAAGCTTGAAAACGATGGCTTAGATATTATGATGTGTCGTTCTCAAGGTTATGATAATGCTGCAGTTATGAGTGGTATACACGGAGGAGTACAAGCTATTATAAAAGAAAAAAACAATAAAGCAATTTTTATTGGTTGTATAGATCATTCAATTAATTTATGCGGCCAACATTCGTTCGCACAAAATGTGACTTGTGTTACATTTTTCGGAGCAGTGGAAACAATATTTAACTTTTTTTCAACTTCCACAAGCCGTTGGGAAGTGCTCCTCAATCACAGCAAAGCATCTGTTAAAAGACTTTCGACAACGCGATGGAGTGCTCATTACGGTGCAGTAAAAGTATTGGCTAAAAATTTTGATGGGATAATATCTGCAATTGAGGAACTATGTGACCAAGACGTAAATTTAGAAACTAGAGGTGCTGCACAAAATCTTATGCCTGCTGTGTGCAATTTCTCATTTCTTTGTTTTCTTTTCTTTTGGAACGATGTGCTAAGGGAAGTGAACAATGCTCAGATTGCATTACAAAGTAAAGGTTTATGTGTTGATGAAATAATTATAAAACTAGAAGCACTTCGTCTATTCATTGGAGAGAAACGGTTGCATCTAGCAGAAGAGGCAATAGATTTTGCTGTACAAAAATCGAAAAATACAACATTTCGATGGAACGACGAATTCGTCGCAAGAAACGCATGCCCGGTGAGTTAGCGTCGTCCACCGATGCTGGACTTACACTTAGAGCGGAACTTCAAAAGGACATGTTAGAATGCCTTGACAGATTCAATATTGAACTCGAAACAAGAGTAAAGTCCATTAAAGACGTAGCTTCATTGTTTGAGGTTGTGCAGTCAAAGACCTTGCTTTCGGCAAACACTGAACAGTTAAAATTAGCTATATCAAAATTTACTAACCTTTACGATGAAGTATCAGAAACAGAACTCCTTTTAGAAATACCAAGATTGAGAAGACATTTAAAAGCGGCTAATATTACTGTCTCTAATTGGGTGATACTGGACTTTTTGAAATTTATTGTGGAATGGGATTTTACAGAATCTCTTCCGAATCTAACGGTAGCACTAAAGTTATTTATAACAATATGTGCATCAGTAGCTTCATGTGAGAGAAGTTTCAGCAAATTAAAATTAATTAAAAATTATTTGCGGTCTACAATGACCGAAACCAGATTAAACAATCTTGGTATTTTAACGATAGAACATGAAGCAACACAAAATATAAATTTTGAAGACGTGATTTCGGAGTTCGCTAGTGTCAAAGCTAGAAGGAAGAAATTTTAATTTTTAACAAACTAAATTTGTTTTACATAATAAACAAATATTTGTAATAGGTACTCATATTTTAATAAAACGTAAATGATTATAACTTTTTTTTATTTTAACAGTTTCGATTGAGTTTTAGGGTGACACCTATAAAATACGCCCCGGGTGCCACCTATGCTAGCTACGCCACTGAGTGCGACTGCCGGGCAATTGGTCTCGGGTTCGATTCACGGGTCGGGCAAAGTATTACAGGGCTTTTAAAAAAATCTCAGTAGTAGCACGGAGTCTGGAATTGAGCCTGGTATGTGGCAATCGGCTCACCCCCTATTACATGGGACTAACTACATAGACATAACATACATAGTGAAAACTGGGTGTTACATTGTACAGTGGCATAATGTGCACTTCTGCCTACCCCTTCGGGGATAAACGGCGTGTTGTTATGTTATGTCACGACCTAGTTTTCATTTTAAATACGTCTAATACAGTTGACGGTCGTCGAAGGAATAGTCACCCTGGGAGACGCCTTGCCGCACGAAATCGCATCGCGGCAATTCACATCGTAATTTTTAGCGTTGTAAATTCGCTTCGCAGTTTTGTGGACGAACCCTATAGCTTTGCTGGGTGTGCTTCAGAGAGGTAATGTAGCATTGCATTGTAGCATGGCATTGAGTTTTATCTTATGCGATGTGAGACTTTGGCCAATTAAATGTATGGTATTTTTCTGGTATGTCTCTGTCAAAGAGTATGACATGACATATTGTGTGTGTGACTTAACGAGTATGAAT